ATATACACGTCTTTGCAGATCATCTACTTTTTCATTGCAATTTACAACAAAATATTTGCGTATTTTTATGAGATTTTGTTCTGTTGTTAATCATTTCCCATGTAATTTTTTTTTGTTGCAATTTTCAATTTTTTTTAAATAAATTAACTTTTAGTGTTTTCTACAAGTCGTTAAGGTTCTGATTTCGAAATTTTATAGTTTTCAAGTTTTGTTTTTTGAAAAAAAAATATAAAAATTTTTAATTCTCAGATGACTTTTTTACATCTGTTACTCAGCTATTAGTATTTTTGTTCGATATTATTTTAATATTTAGTTATCATAAAGTGTTAAATTTTAGGTCAATATTTTTTTAAGCAGATATTTTTATTAGATTCATTAGTGCTTCTTAATTCAATCATGTTTGGCATTGTGGAGAGATATTCCTTCATATCTATTCCCACACATGCAACAAAGTTTAAAAGAGCTTGGAACTTGTGATGAAATCAAAATACACAATAGAAGATCACTACTGTACAACGCTGATATTGTCACACAAAATGCTGGGTCAGCCACAAGTGTGTAGTTGGCCCCATGAGTGATATACTATTGTTTGTTTGGATTTTATCGCAAATTTTGTTTTCTTGAACTTAGTTGCACCGTACTGATGAATACCAACACTCAGAACCACGTGTCTAAGGTTTGTTTCGAAGGAGCTTTCAACAATGCCTCAACCAGGTCAATAACCAAGGCTCTAGAAGAGAGAAACGTCCCAGTTACAATATGCCAATGGATCACTGCCTGTCTAGAGAACAGGATTATTTTATCCACTCTAGGAAAGGCAACCATACAGGCAAAAGTTACACGGGGCTGCCCACAAGGAGGAATTTATCTCCAATGCTGTGGTCAGTTCTAGTGGACGACTTACTCAAAACATTGTCCAAAGAAGGCTACCAGTGCCTAGGATATGCAGACGACCTAGCAATTATCGTCAGGGGACGATTTGCAGGCACAGTCTCGGAGCGATCTCAAACAGCTCTAAACCTAATGAACAAGTGATGTAAAAAGGAACAATTGTCCATTAACGCACAAAAAACAACAGTTGTACCTTTCACAAAAAACGGGTACTAACAGGACTAAGACCACTAGTACTAAACAACATAGTTATTCCATTCGTCACAGAAGCCAAATACCTCGGAGTCATGTTTGACCAAAGGCTGACGTGGAATCAACATCTTAAAAAACTCACACACAAAGCTACAATAGCTCTCGTAAGCTGTAAAAGATTATGTGGGAAAAACTGGGGTCTAAACCCCAAAATGACCATATGGTTATACACAAGGGTAATAAGACCCATGATAACCTATGGTGCAGTGGCATGGGTATTCAAAACTGCACAGGCAAGTACAATAGGCCAACTCACTAGCATTCAGCGGCTTGCCTGTCTAAGTGCTACTGGGGCTGTGCGCACTACGCCGACTGCAGCAATGGAGGTATTACTAAATCTTACGCCACTGCACATCTTCATACAAGGAGAAACCAGGTCAGCTATTCACAGGCTAACGCAGGGACAAAACCCAATAAGCCAACTACATAGCGCCGATCACATAAGGCTATATCAGCAAGTAAAAAGGGATAATATTCTAGCAATGCCTACTGATAGAGCCATAACCACATACAAATTTGAAAGAAATTTTCAAATTCAAATACCAGCCCGAGAATCCTGGAAACAGGGACCTCCCGTACAGGCTGAACTCGTCTGGTACACAGACAAGGTTCAAAAACCAAGGAAGGAGCCGGTGCTGGAATCTATGGACCCAAGTCGAAAACAATGATTTCGCTAAGTTTAGGAAAATATGCAACAGTGTTCCAGGCTGAACTAATAGCCATACAACACTGTGCAAGAGAAATATCAAATCAGCAAGTATCAGGCAAAACTATTACCATATACTCTGATAGCCAAGCAGCTCTAAAGGCACTTCTCTCACCAGAAATCAAATCACGACTGGTGAAAGACTGTCTAGAAGACCTGGCAGAGCTAAGTAGTCAAAATAAGGTGACCCTAGCCTGGGTTGCAGATCATGAAGGATATTAGGGCAACGAAAAGGCCGACGAATTAGCCCGAGAAGGCTCAGATGCCATGACAGGCCCCGAACCCTTCTGTGGAGTTGCTAAGGCATTGTGCAAGACATCCATTACACAATGGATGCAAAGAGAGTCTCAGGAATGGTGGAACAACTATCCAAGACTGAGACAGGCCAAACAGTTCATTAAGGAACTATCAGCCAAGTTCACGAAAGACCTACTGGATCAAAAGCGTCAAATCGTTAGGATAACAGTAGGCCTTCTTACTGGACACTGTCGCCTCAAAAGGCACATGAGTGTCATAAATCCAGCAGAAGAAGCAACTTTGTGCAGGTTCTGCCAGGCTAGACGACATACTCTAGAACAAGCGGAGTCCCACAATAGATCTGAAAAGGTCGCGGTGGACAAGGACAAGTAACGTCCAGCTCCTAATCTAATCTAAGGTTTGTTTTTCGGTTTTTTTCTTCTTCTGTATTTGCAGGATGTGCTTATTATTTCCTTTTTTGATAGATACCCACACACTAAATCTTTTTTTTTTTTTAGAATAATAATTTAAATGATGGCAATGTTTTGAAAATAGGAAAAAATAAATAAAGCATTTGTTTTTGAAATTCTAATTAGTTTTGTTGCTAAAAAAATTCTTAAAAGTAAATATATGTAAAACTTGAAAAAGTGTTTACCTCACATATATTTTTTAATAGTCACAGTTTTAATTTAAAAACACTTTGTAACTTGACAATTTCTATAAATGCTTAGTTGAATAAATCCTTGTTTTAATTTAAAAATGTTGTAATTGAAAATTACATTCAACACCTTCTACAAAGCCTTATTAACAAAGAAATTGTATGGTAAATAAATAAACAATTACAAACTTTCCTCTAATTCTAATTAATACAAAAAATAATATGAACTGTCACTGTCAACTGTAGAGTGACGGCACATAAAAAAACATATTTCATTTTTTCTTCTTCTTTTTCTCAACACTGCCACCTGTACTGTCAAGCTTTCTTTTCTGTGAAGATTTTGAACCTAAAACTGTAGGAGTACCAACAACATTAGAAGATTTAGGCATTTTCTTTTTCTTCTCATTTTTTTCTCGTTCTTCTAACTCTGCATTCTCTCGTTCTATGAGTGTAATCAATGTATTACATCGTCTTTGCAATTCCATGGCAGTTCTAGATTTTAAAAACCAATCGAATCTAAATTGTGGAGAAGCTCTAACAGCTGCCCTTAATTCTTCATATACATTTTCTCTGTCAAAACCAAGTTTGTGAAGCATACATACTAGAAATCGATCTTCATCTTCCATATAATTTTTTCCTTTATTTGTACCATAAGATATCCGTAATTGATGGAATGGAGCTCGGTACCTGAAATTTAAAAAAACAATACAGATAAAATACTACATACAGGATGTAGAAAATTTAAAGAAACTATTGCGATTTCGTAATCCATTAGAGATTCAAAGTCAGTTGAATGGGAAAAGTTTCCAAATTATAAAATCAACGTGCTGATTATATGAAATTAAAGATATCAGGTCTGGTTTCCAAGATATTTAAGGAAAAAACGAACGGGTCGATTTTCTGGTTTTGGGTCTGGTTCCTTTCTTTTTAAAAATAGCAAAAAATAAATAATAGATAAATAATATTAAATAGATATAATAATAATTAGAGTTTACGTTTTCACAGGTAAATTTCAATCCAACATTTCATGTCTAAAGAGCCTGCCATAAAGGGTATTGTATTGTCTATAGTGGACATAGTTGTTCACATACTTTGATTACTATACGAGGCAAGAGAGAGGTCGGACACGCCCAACATAGGGCGCGGCCATTTTGAACCCTGTGACACAGTTTACAGCTAAAGAATCAGATCGCTCACTCTGCGACGGCACTTTTGATCTCAATGTTTCAGTTTATACACTGTGCAACTCGGATAATACAATATATGACAACCGCCTATAATAAAACAGCAGTCTTCTGCGTATCCTGAATTTGTATCCCTGGAGTGGATGTTATTTTGGAACTTTCAACTGATTCTTTAGCAATAAACTGTGACTTCAAAAATAATATTCACTGACACTGACAGCAGTAAGCAAAATATGAGATGCGTTTTAATAATCCGCTTCTGCTTCCGGAATTGTCGGTTTAGTCGTAACCTGTCAGATTAAACGCACCTATTAAAAATATTGCGCCAAGATGTAGGCAACACGTAATAAGGGTTCAAAATGGCGAAGTTTTCTATCTCCTTTTAAAAGGCACTCAGAAAGCTGCGCAGTGCGACCATTCTCCGTATAGTAAAAGAAAATCAAAGTATGTGTAGTTGTTACATAATTTTTTGAAACATCTCTATGCCAGATTTAGAAATTGAACAAAAACAGAGACAAGCAAAACGAAAGAGACAGTTACAGAATAAATCAATAGAGATTCCTTCATTTTAAATAATACTTGATATGAAAACAACGCGCGGCTCTGAATTTTTCCAAGGCCTACTTTGCAAACATTTTTTTATGGATTACTCCTTATAATCAGTTTACACTTCTAAAACCAATTGAGCACTTTAAAAAAGACCAATATGTTAACGACGCCATTTCATTTTAAGTGGAAAAACGCGATATTGTTCAAATCCTACTTATCTCTTTGAACAAATTAAAATAAATAAGCTAAATAAAGATAAATAAGCTAAATAAAGATAAATAAGCCAAATAAAGATGAATAAGCTAAATAAAGATAAATAAGCTAAATAAAGATAAATTGATAATTAAATACCTTGCCATTTTTGCATCTAAAGCTTTCTTTATGCTTGCTCTCCTTTGAATCTTAGCTTCTCCTCTTTCTATTTGGGCCATTATTCTATCAATGTCCTGCAATTCATGACATCTTTCCCAAAAAACAGCAGAATATTCCATTACTTCTTCTGGGCTTTTCCCTTCAACATCTTTGGCGATATTTTCTATATCATCCCTTCCAAATTTTTCGTTGGCTTTAATAAATTGATTGAAATCACGTTTACTCCAATTAGTGAATCCCTGAGTCAATAAGGTTTCTTTTTCTTGTTGTTCATCTTCAGTTAACGGTTCAGACTCATCTATTTTTCTTTGTTCTTCTTTTTGTTGTTTTGAAGCATCAGGCCCCAATTCCAAATTTTTAGGTACCTTAAATATTAATCAAATGATTTTTGTGAAATAATTAAATACTGACAAAGTAATCTAAGTAAAACAAGGATTAAGAAATGGAATTAATAATTTGTACAGTAAACAATATTAAAGTTTAATGAAAAATATTCACTTATAATACCACTAGTACCTAAATTTTTTCGAAATCAATTTACGGGAGTGAGAAAAAATGTCCAGACAATAATTTTGGCACGTGTGGTATTCGGTACGAAAAATTTACACCGAAATATCAAAATTTCAAAACTTGACAGACATGTATTAAAATGACTAAAATAAAATTTACAAAGTTGGCCATGCCAGTTATGCCTATTAGCCATATTTGAAGTCGATTAGTCGACGCGAAATCCTCAGTATTATTTTACTTAAAATAAATATAGTGTATTTCTATCTATAATTGGTATTAAATAAAATTTTAACAATTGAAATGGCAATTTTTTAATCATAAAGTCGCGTCGTATCATGAGCATGAAAGAGCTTCTCAAATGTAAAAAAAAAATCCAGAGTAATTTCGTACAGGGTTGTCATGAAAATGTTTTAAAACAACAGCATTTGATCGGCAATCAAATATAGGTGTAAAATTTTCAAAGAAACTATAGAAAGCTCATGAGGAACTATATTTAATTCCTCACATTCATGCTTAGTTACAATCTAAAAAGAATGAATACCTTATATCCCAAAGATTTTCTGTAATAGTAGATTTCTTGATCCAACAGCTCAAATAACCTAGGTGGAAAGAACTGAAAATCTTGCACAATAGGCTGCTTAGGTGGTCTTGGAGCCTTAGGAGCTTTTGGTTCTGAAACCCTTAAGGCTTCTCTGAAATAAGCGTCTACTGCATAGTTTGCTTTTCTTTCTCGCTTTGGCGGTTCAATCCAATTACTTACACCGATTGTTTTCTGTTTTTCACGGTAGTCTTCCCCTTCAAATTGGTAAACAGATTCAGTGGGAGTATCAACAGTAAAATTGCGAAGCGATGATTCACCCAGAGATTCCAATTTCTGAGCAAGTTGAGCTGTCTAAAAATAAAAATAAATAAAAAACGATTATATTAAAAATTCTATAGTGCATGAAGACTTTGACAATGATGAAATGGGGAGGGTTCCGGTGATGAATATTATATAAATGGGAGGAAATGTGGTTTTTTGATTGAAGTGTTATACTGTTATTGTATGTAGGGGCCAACAACGAGCTAGACACATTTTTCTTTACAAAGGGAGAATTACAACTATTGCAAGCACGTTGTTATTCACATAGTTGCAAATTATTACGAGAGAATCTATGTACAAGGATTGTTTGTGTTTTTAATTCGGAATTTGTGGCTGAAAATAATTTTCAGGATAGTACGTCATTTATTTTACAGTAAGTTATAAGTGTAAAGCAGGCATCCAATTCATACAAATTGGTTGCAAATTTTTTCTATATTAAAGGATGATTTCATATTTTATGATAAAAATCTTTAATATGAAATGCATCATGCTTGCTGAATTTCTTATTAAAAGTGTGAAGATCTGGTGAGAGAATTTATTAATGTCTTTATTTGTTTGTTTGTTCATATCGTATATAGTTCATCTGGCGGTGTTTTTAACGAACTGTCGTATTCCGCGAAATAAACATTTCTTGGAATTTTTCATCATATAAGCGAAAATAAATAAATAAATAAATACATAAAGAAGAATACAATTTTGCAACGAAGCGGAAAGTAGTATACATTTTATGATATTCTCAATAATAAAATTAAATTTGGCAAAAAGTGTGATGGTACAATTTGAGAGAAATTAAAACTTTCTAGTCATAAATACCCGTACTGTATATTTGTTAATATGATTTGTTTATAAACTTGATGAATTTTATTATTGAGAAAAAAAACTTGAAAGAATAGAATAGAATAGAATCGGTTAAACTTTTAGGATTTTATTAGACAATAGATTAAATTGGTCAAGTCACATTAATTATGTTGCAAGTAAATTATCTTCTATTTTGTTTCTCTTAAGACAGCTTGAGTATGTCATCAGTTATGATGTTTTAAAAACCGTATATTTTTCACTATTTCACTCACATATTAGTTATAGTATATTATTGTGGGGTAATGCAACCGATTCTATTATAATTTTCCGTCAGCAAAAAAGAAATAAGACTATTAACAGATGCTCAATTTAGAGATTACTGTACACCAATACTCACTACTCATAAAATCATGACTTTACCTTCATTATTTATATTTGCAAATGTATTTGAAATACATAAACATTTATGTCTACTACCAATGCAAGGTGGTGGCCATTTACATAATACACAAATTGGTACCTATTTTAGAGGTCCAAGACACAGATTATCAAAATCAGAACATAATTCAATTAACTTTAAATTACAAAACTATTTTATTCAGTTTTAGAATTCCAGGAATACATTAAGAGTATTAGTTTTAAATGTATGAGTGAAACATGTCACCTAATATTTTTAATATTGTATTTTTATATTTTTTATTACTATTACCAACCATGATCTTTTAAAATCCCATTTTATTTTAAATTTTATACGAGTATGCTGTATGTTAATGTATGTAAAATGTGGTGTATTTTACCATTTATGTGTACTGATGACTATGTAAACATGTTTATATATGTATTACTGAGAATAAAATATTTCTATTTTATTTTTGTTTTTAATTGATCTAGCAGATGGAAAAATTTGTACCCAATCTGTCATCGTAAATCCATTTTAATATTTCTTTGCAAAATAAATTGCAGAATTCATGGAGTCACATTCCATAAAGGAATGTCCAGCACTTAAGCTAGACACTGTACAAGTGAGATAAATATTGGACGACATACATCACAATTGATGCCACTTGCTTATGCCTGTTCTGTCCCCCACAAGTACCACTGAATATAGAAATAGCTGACACTGCTATGGGCAGTGATTTAAGAAATTTGAAAAAAATTGAGCCTATATCATTGCTTCCTTGCTTACACATAATTCAGTCCAAATATAACAATAAGCAATCTCTGTCTCCTACATAGATTGCCAAATCATAGATACAAATTATTCTACTGTAATGCTTACATTTCACCTTATCCTGCGCCATGGCTTCATTATGTTGGCCATTCATGTTAAATACTGCACAAATACATTCATCAACTACAGTCTTACTAACAAGAACAGGCATGATACAATTCAATTCACTCTCTCTGGAATATAGTCTTGTCAACTAATATTCGCTAAGTAAATTAATAATTTTTTCCTGTCACACCTTTCAAAAACAACTGCCTTTAATGAAGTTTCCCACTCTGCAATAGTGTTGTGGGCCGTTTTATGAGCATAGTAAGTTTTCCTACAAGATATTGGCGATAAATGCAGTTTTACCTGTCACCTGACACTATGTAATATTCTTGGGAAATTTATAAAATTAAAGAAGACAAGAAAAATTGCAAAATGCAAGTGAGGCTATAAATTATTTAAAAACATTTTTAATTGTTATGTAAAATTGAACCACCCTGTATACAGTAGTAGGGTTTTTTTTTTTTAGAAAAAAAGGCACATAGGAGGTGTTCTGTATTTTGTCATTTAAGTTTACCCATCGTTTCGTAAATTATCATTATCACCCTAGTATACTTACTTTCGTTTCTCCCTTTTGCAATATTGTATCTATATCTTCATCTGTGATTTCGGAATCTCTTGAAGCAAATACATGATTAGCACCATGTCGGATCATATTTAACATTTCATCTTTATTTAAAGTTTGTCCTTTGGAGTCTGCCAGGCGGCCCTGCTGAATAACTAATTTGTCTAATCTCAATTTAACTTCAGCTCTTTCAACAATTTTCTCTTCTACCGTATTTTCGGTAATAAATCTGGAGGACAAGTAAAAAAATATTTGTATTTAATAGGAAAATTTGTTTTTTTAATGAAAACGCTTCAATAAAAATGAATTTAAATGGCAGAATTATATTTCTCTTAAACCAGTACTGATCTTAATGTACATATCACTTAACTAGTCCCTAAAATGCCCAACTTTTTCCACATTAACTGAGCATGTATTCTGCATGATTGGCAACATGCAAAAAGATCTAAAACTTATGAAAATAAATGGAAAAAAGAACAGCTGACAGGGTAGAATATTTTCTTGGTCATCGGTTCTAAATACCAAAAAAAATAAAAAATAAACTATTTTCTCACTTTTAAATATTTTGTGACTCATGTCCTGTGGGAAATCATTTTTGTGTCACACTCATTTCGAACCTAACCCACAATAAAAATCCCAGACCAATCTTTAAAATAATAATTAGCACGTAGGTGATCACACAAAAACGAAACGTTGCCAATTTAACTAGCTATTTAGAAAATTAAAAATCTTTTTAAAACTTTTCGGCGTGATAATAAACAAAAAATGCTTAAAGGAAAAAAAAGCAAATTCAAGATATGGCAAAAATTTCCTAAACAACTAGAAATAGGTTATTAATATTATTTGTGATTTATTCAAACTATAATAATGCAACGTATATCCCATTTAACCTATTCAACTGACCTCTGCATACTTATAAGGGATACAATTTTTAATATTAATATTTACTTTACCTGAATACTTTAACTTGTTTTGTTTGACCGATTCTATGAGCTCTGTCCATTGCTTGCAAATCCATTTGTGGATTCCAGTCAGAATCATAAATGATTACAACATCAGCTGTTGCTAAATTAATACCCAAACCACCAGCTCTTGTAGATAACATAAAAATAAATTTGCTGCTACCATCTTCATTAAATTCATTTATCTGTCTCTGTCTGTCCTCATGGGGGGTTTGACCATCCAAACGACAATATTGATACTGCTTCCAATGACAATAATCTTCTAAAATATCCAGCATTCGCGTCATTTGTGAAAAAATTAGTACTCGGGAATCTTGTTCTTTGAGCCTGGGTAACAATTTATCTAGCAAAACAATTTTTCCACAATTGTATACAAGGTGAGAGTCAGTTGTATAAGGAGGACCAGGTTCAGCACCATCAAACAAGTAAGGGTGGTTAGTACATTTTCTTAACTGCATAAGGATATTTTGTAATCGCATTTTCTCCACCTAAAACAATATATAAATAAATGTCAATACTATATCTAATAAGCTTTGATAATAATTTTAAACTAACTTCAAAACAAGGCCCATTTTGAGTTCATTAAAATGAATCTACAATTTCAATTTTTAAAATATTTCAAGAACTTACCTTGCCCGCGCCGTTAACAATATCAATGTCTTTCATCAACACTTTGGTATACCATTCTCTCTGCATTTTGCTTAATCCAACATAAACTTTAACTTCTTTTTTTGGTTTTAATTTTTTTTCTACCTCAGACTTCAATCTTCTAAGCAAAAACGGTTTTAGTACAGCATGCAGTCTCTCTACCAGTTGATTATCGCCTAAACACTGGTTGGTATTGAACCAAGCATCAAAATCATCAGACGAATTGAATACATCGGGAAGCAGAAAATTAAGCAAAGCCCAAAGTTCATGTAAATTATTTTGTAATGGAGTACCTAAATAATAAAAATGCATATATTATTATTGTTTAAATACATCTGTACACCTTTTAAACATTTATGAAACATATGTCGACCCTGACACATAAAGAATTTAAATTTTGTCGATTACATACATCTTTTAAAATACAACGAAAATTTGTAACAGCAAGTTGCAAGATCAACGGACAACATGAATTAAAAATATTTAACTACACAGTCTAATGCAGTGGGAATCATACAAGATGAGGCAAAAGGAATAATACTATATTTTGTCTCTTTATTGAAGCAGTGCCTATCATTCAAGTAATGCGACAAAATAATTTATTGGGTTAAAAGTTCTATCCAATCAAATTTGAAATGGTGGAGTGGGTATGGTTGTCATATTATTATAGACCCTAAACGAGAACACAAGCAGCATTATTTTTGCATCATTCAAACAAAGCATACAATTTAGTAATTGCTCAAGCCAACATTTATCACAATTCTTCTCGCATTAAATGAAAAACTAAGATTAATCAATGATCAAAGTAAGTGAATTCATTTCTGAACGACTTCTTAGATGCGGTGCTCACTACAATTCCGATATTGTCTCAACAGTCAGCATTGTCAGAAGACAGATAGTAGTAGACAGAGGATTTTTACTTTTTTTTATCACTCAACAGTTCCTTTGTCTATAGTGGAACAAAATATTAGAGAAAGTGAGTCATATTCGTTGGCAACCCTGCCTGTGGAGGGAAACTAACAGTCAGCCTAGGCACAGTATTAAATAACAAATAAAAATTCTTCTCTTATGGGATTTCGGGGATCCCACTAAAGAAAATTTTGCTCCTGTTTAGTTTTTTAAATATGATGTACTATTATTGAATCACTTTGTATAGGGCATAACTTATACTGTTGCTTTCCAATAATGTATGTCAAGTAGGAGGTTCTTTTTTTTTGAGATAGGTGATATCTGTTATTCATTTTCTGATATCATGAGATATAGCTATTGTAAGTTTTTAAATGTTTACCCAATATTCATATTCAACTAACATTTTTGGTATTAAAAATACACTTACCAGTTAGAAGCAGTCTATTGGTGGTTTTAAATTCCCTAAGAATTTCCGAAAGTTTAGATTTTTCATTTTTTATGCGGTGAGCTTCATCAATTACCATATATCTCCAATTGAATTTTTTAAAGACGGATTTTTCTTTTATGCACATTTCATAAGATGTCACACAAACATCCCATTCCCCCGGCATCAACACATCTCTAATGAAAGTACTCTATAAATAAAGTATTATTATTTATTTTTTATTTTAGTTGCTAAAGAAGAAGTATATATATTTGAATTTATATAATTACAAAAACCAAATAATTAATCATAACGACTAAAATTCGTAAAATCTTACCCTGGCTTCCTGATCTCCTATTAGACAAACAGCTCGTAAAGTTGGACACCATTTTTTGAATTCAGCCATCCAATTGGATAGAGTGGACTTTGGAACAATAACTATATGTGGTCCGGCAGTACTTTTATAATGTTTCATAAATCCAAGTAAAGAAATAGTTTGTAAAGTTTTTCCAAGACCCATTTCATCTGCCAATATTCCATTAATACCATTTTCATAAAGAGATATCATCCAATTTAAACCACGAACCTGATAATCTCTCATTACTCCATTCTTTATATAATATGGAGAAGCATCAAATCGTGTCGTAGGTTTAGTTTTGTGATTCGTTTCCGCCAAAAGTTCTTCATCTTCTTCTTGTTCTGTTTTTCTATGCCTCAAACTACAAATAAGTTGCTTGATATACGGTTTTAAAATGATTACTTCAGCATCAGGCATATCTAAATAGAAAGTCATGGAGTCAATGTATTGAAAGGTGAAAATTATTTATTACAAAAATGAAAATTGAACAAAACATTTTTTAAAAGAACAAAAAGGGAGGTTATCAATAATTTGACTTACCATGACATCCATTACGGATAAGTACGTAATTTTAACATATAGTTTGTGCAAAAAAAAGTTCGATGCACATTTAAAAAAAAAATCCCATAAAATAGATTAAGTTTAATACCTACATAATTTAATTTAATATTAACAAGAGATGATAGAAAATGTTAGAAAGCAGAATTAAATCATGTAAGAAAAATATACATCTAACTTTGTTTTGCACAACCTATACAAAGTTAAAAAGTTATTGTGAATAATTTATAAAAAAATTATGTTTGAGAGATATTTATTCATTTGTTACTCCACCCAACAGTAATCACCATTTACTGCGTGGGAAAAACAAAACATTAGAATAATAATAATACGAATACAGGAAAAAAACTGACCGAACACAGGATAAAAAAAATGGTTGTCTACATTGCATTGCATGCTTTACATAATTTTTTTACATTGTGTAAGATTCTTTTCTTTCTTCTGAGAAAATATAATCCCTACAAGTGACACCCTGAGACTCGGAAGTACTCGAGCGCCAGTTTTTTTAATGTGGTTTGCTCCACAATTCGGGCAGCTTCTAGTGGAGGTGACGGAATAACTCCAGGGGTCTTGTTAATATCAGACTATCAATAAAAGAAGGTAACAATAACGGGCTTTAATCGTTATTGTTACGTAAAAGTATTCTGAAGCTGAAATAAAAAATGAAGGGGAAAGGTCGACACACAATTATAAGCCAGAATTCAAAATTAACACATGTATTTCTTACGAAAGCTAATAACAAATGTCGTAAAATATTTCAAAGCCCCACCCTGAACAAAAAAAAAATAAGAGAAAAAAAAATAGCGGTTGCGGAACGGTAGCTGTGACAGGACGGAGCTCAATCAGACGTTTATTAATTATTTACAGAAATATATCAAAGGAATAAATTAAGTTTACAAATTCGGCCCGTGGCTGTGTTTTATTTATTATAGTAAATTCTAAATGCAAACGGAATAATGGTTTAATGGTTTTCAAAAATTAATTAGTACCAGGTATTGGAAACGTTATTATTCCCAAACAATTTTTGTGTTAAATTAAAAAAAATTATGGAACTCACCCTATATTTATAAAAAAAAAATTAAATATTCTTGTCGGTATTATTTCTTTAGGAAAATATAAAAGAAGCAATGACAATTTCCCTTATTAATATCAAAACTTTCTTTAATAATAAAAATAAAAATATTCAGTAACTACCCCAATTACAATATCCAAACGGCTAGTCAAAAATAAAGCGAAAACTACCCCAGCAAGCGGAAACTACCCCAAAGCAATATCCAAAATGCTAGATAAGCCCTTGTGAACCACTCAACGCAGGCAGTCTCTAGATTCAGATATTATTCTAAAATTCTTTTTGAAAATAAAGCGAAAGCTACCGCAACAAGCGGAAACTACCCCAAAGCAATATTCAAAATGCTAGATAAGCCCTTGTGAACCACTCAACGCAGGCAGTCTCTAGGTTCAGATATTATTCTAAAATTTGGTTAATTAAGGAACTCCCCCTTATAATAGATACAAAATCCAAAATTACTGACTACTTAAAAGTAATACGAAATGTATTCTTGTTCTGGCACCAATTAATTTTAAACCTGTTTTATAGGAAAATAGGAATGCATATAACTTATATTTCAGTAATTTCAAAAATGTCTGAAAAGAAAACCCCGAAATTTTGATACAACATAAAACGGAATACTAAAAAAAATCAAAACTAGGCAAACACAATAAACACAGCCGATAAAGCAAATTTCCTACCTGGGCCTCAATTCTCGACTTTTTTTCCCATGGGAAAAAGATAATTTTCCTATGGGAATTTATATTTTGTATTCTCGACACATCCACTAGGAATATTTTCTCACGAAAAGTATGGGAGCAAATACACCTGGTATTTGGCATGGGAAATCAAATTTCCAATGGGAATCTGTCACCGGTGACATTTGCTAGTTCTAGTTACTTCAAATAATAATATTTATATATTATTATTATTACTAATATACCTTTACTAAAATGGATGAAGCTATTTTACTTTTCCAATTAAACAATATAGAAGAGGCAGAAAGAAGAGCAAATAATGTCCCAAGAGATTTTTGGTTTAAATGGAAAAATGAGGCAGGGGATCCCTTTGAATCCTTAAATGATAGACAATTTATCAAATTATTCAGACTATCAAAAGAGGCAGCCGCTAATCTACTTGCAGATATGGAAACAATAATAGATCCCCCATCGAGGAAATCTGCAATTCCGGTAAAAATAAAGGTAAGTTCTTCGACCATTCCAAAAATATACATTATTTTATTGACATCACACAGCTATTGTTTGTTTAAAAGATATGTGAATTTCATCATTTATTTGCTTCTTAAAAATGTATGTACAGAAACTGGATGATTTTTTTAATAAAAATAGGGTTGCATATTTTTTAGCTTTTAATTGCCTTGAAATTTTTTGCTACTGGAAGTTACCAAACTGATATTGGTTTAAATAAACATTTCCCTGTAAGCCAGTCAACTGCTAGCCGTTGCATTAAAGAGATCGTTGATGCTTTAAATAACCCAAGAGTATTCCGAAAATGGATCAAATTTACACTTGGGGAAAATTTAGATCAGAGGCGAATGCAGTAAGTTTTTAAAAACTTAAGTGTGGTGCCTCAAAATAGAATAATTGAGATATTCCAGTTTCGTACCTAATTTTCTTAATTTTAGGTTTTATCAAAAATATGGTATACCAGGAATAATAGGTGTCATAGATTGTACGCATGTAGCAATATTCCCACCTTCTGAAAATGAACATTTATATATAAATAGAAAATCATATCATTCAATTAATGTTCAATTAGTAAGTATGAACTTTTCTTAAAACTTAAAGATCCATAATACTAAAATGTGTATTTTATAATTACAGATTTGTGATATAAACCTGACCATTCTCAACGTGAATGCAAGGTTTCCAGGCAGTACTCATGATGCTCACATTTGGAGAAATTCAAATGTCTGTCATGTGCTTCAACAGGCCAGCCGAAATGAGAATTTCAATTACTACTTGATTGGTAATTATTGTCGATTTTAATTATTTTGTTTTTTATTATTATATCTATAGGAGACTCTGGATATCCACTAAGGAAGTGGTTACAAACACCAGTTCCTAATGCAGAGGATGGTACACCAGAAGCAGACTACAACACCCAGTTATGCAGTGCACGATGTTTGATTGAGAGATGTAATGGGCTCTTAAAAATGCGATTTAGATGTTTACTCAATCATCGTGTGCTGCATTATGAACCCACAATTGCCGGAAAAATAGTCAATGCGTGCTGTGTATTGCATAACATATGTATTCAGTATAATGTACCTGAGCCTGATCTAGAAGCAGATCAAAACCTCGATTTGGGAATGTATAACTTTAATGTTAATATTGACAATGAAGATAGGAATCGGCGACAAAACCGAAATCCTGACTTGGAAGATGGTCGTCGACTGCAGCGCCAGATTATAAGAAATTATTTTGATTAAATGTAAGTGTTTTAAAACAATATGTAGTTATTTTTATTTTATTTTCCTAATTAATATGCATTAAGGTTTTAAGTATTATGATTGTTTAATGAAAATAAAATAGTTACTATAGAAATCTATATTTATTTAACACATTGCGTGCCTCGCTGTTATCGCGAAAATAGCCTCAGGGGCCAAACTACATTTTAACAATATTTGTATGTATTTACTCAAAATAAAGGTCTTTTGATAATTCTGTGTTTTTTTTGTAGTTTTTTAAATATTTTTTTCACTTTTTCTGTCTCTCATATATAAGCGACGTGGCCCTGAAGCAAAAAAAGTTGTAATATTTAAGCTGGAGGCCATGTCTCTCAAATATGATCACCGCAAGTTTTCTAGAATAAGCAATCCCAGAATAAATTTTGTTTCATTATTAGGAATAGGCTATTTCAGAATAAATTTTGTTTTATTACGCAAAATGAATAGCAAATGTTGATAACATAATTAAATGTTAAAAAACTTAAAGCTAAAATATTAAACACTGTTAAAAATCCTTAAAATTCCTTTGTTTCTGCTATTTTTTCCAAGGCACAAGCTATTCGTTCTTTTGCCAAAACATTTCTCTCTAACAACTTGAGTTTTTTGTCATAATAATTTTCTTTATTAAGAGGGTTCTATACCCGTCCGCCATATTGGAAATGTTAATGTTCAAATTGCGGGCTTAATACTCACCAAAAAAAATATCTTTTTTGTATCCGTGCTTCTTATGCATCGTAGATTGGCGCATGCTAACTTTTTTTTATAAACATAAAAAAAATAAAATGAAAAAAATATAAAACAAGTCATATACGTATAAATGTTATCATCCGCCATTCTTCATTTGCCACTGAACAACTTGTGTATTTACCATTTTTGAAAAAAGTAAGTAGTTTTTTCTAAAATTGAACATTGCATAAAAATTTCAGAGGGCATCGGGAGGTGCTGCCCCCAACGGTCCTCTTTTACGTTTGGATACCATGATAATTAATATTTTCTATGCCAGATGGCGCACCAGTCGCGAAAAGTATGTTCAGTTGCCTAAACCAATAAATATTACAGAGTTACTTTCCGATCGATGTATAAAATTGCAAACAACACGATACACAGAATAACGGTGTGTTCCTGCGCATGCAGCTGACTGACGGTGACGTCACGTGGGACAGAATTGTTAGTTTTAAATGGGAAATAGTGTTTGAAATTCGATATATCGCCGGTTTTAGATTTTATGCAGTTACTTAAGCTTTATTGGTTATTAACCGACTTCAAAAAAGGAGGAGGTTATCAA